GAATCTATATTCAGTACCTATTTACACCGTTTTACAGTAACATGGTGTTGACTTAATAGTTCATAATAACAATAAACAATATAAAGATATACTATTATAAATTATAATATTTAAATATTAATAATATCACCTATCAAATCGAGTATAAGTTCTCTAGTATCAACTAGTATAGAGTGAAAAAAAAAAGGCCAACTGTGTGTGTCATTAATGTATGACTGCTGACATCAAAGTAGCACCAGTAAATATTTTATTTTAGATTCTGAGTGGAACGATGAATGTATTGATTTTACAATGATGTGTGTTTTTTTTTTAATTTTTAATTTTTTAATTTTTTTTTGTGTCTGTGTACACGATAAGTAGTCGAAATAATGCTACGATTTTCAACTTCAGTATCTTGTTCGATTGGAAAGTGAATATCGTTGGTGCATTGAGGAGGTCAAAATTTAAAATTCCCAGTAATTTTCAAAAGCGCCAAGAAAAACCAAAGAAATATTAAGGAAAAACTGGAATTTTTACGCAAAATCGATTTTTTACAAAATTGAATTTGGTTTTTGGTGTAACTTAAAAAAAATGACCGTAGATACATTAAATTTTCACTGATTGTTTATATTTGCATTTTCTATATACGATAACATTTTCAAAATATTTTGATTTATTTTGAACTGTTTAGGGACATTTTCATTTTTCATTTTTTTTTTTAGTTTTTTTTCTATAAATATCAATAAAATTTTATTTGTTGGTTAAAAAGCTTGAAAATTTAATAGAAGGCTCCTAGATATTATTTCAAAGGCAGATGAAAAATATTAAAAATTCTTAGTCACAATGTCTTTTATAAGCATTTAAATGCAAATTATTTTGAGTTAAGAATTCGTAAAAATTTTTATTTTTAAATCTAAGATTGGAAAATGTAATACAAGATTCCTTATAAGATTATCTACCTTTATCAAAAAAAAAAAGGTGGGTAAGTGGATGTCGCTCTGCTGTACAGTAGGTTACAAGTGGGTCACTGTATAATTGATGCTATTAAATTTGAATTCAATGATACAATATCATTGTATAAGAAAAACGATTCTGAGCGAAGACGGTATGACAGTCTAGGTTAAGACAAATTATATACATATCTATGGTATTAAAAAAAAATTGACCTATAATAAATTCCAAATTAATCATATCACATTATCACAATATCCATTAGGTACTTATAACACGTTATACACTAACAATAAACCCTGATACTATCATATATATATAATAGTACACTTTAGAAGTTTCAAGTAGGTACCAACGAATAATATTAGTTACAACAAAATAACTAAGTTTTTTTTTAATATGTAATTTCGTCCAAATTTGAACATAAAATGACTATAAAAATAAACTGTGATTGTATATTTTTTAGATTTTTCGGTTAGAGAATTAACTACTTACGTGGAATCTTGTTTTAAATTTTCAATCCTTAGCTATAAAAACTGAACATTTTATAATTTATTAATTACGATGATTAATAATTTTCGAGATTTTGAAAAATTCTGTCAAAATTCGATGTTAAAATGCTTATAAAAAAAAATTGTGCCTATGTATTTTTAATATTTTTCAACTGATATTGTAACAATATATCAGGAGCCTTGTATTAAATTTTTACACTTTTTGGCCCAACAGATAAAACTTAATTGATATTTATAGAAAAAAAAAACCAAAAAAATTGAAAACTGAAAATGTCCGTAAACGGCTCAAAAAGAGTCAAAATATTTTCAAAATTGTATGGTGTATAGGAAATGCTAATATAAACATTCAGTGAAATTTTCATGTATCTACAGTAATTCGTTTTTTAATTACAACAAAAAAAGGAAATTGCCACATGAGAAATCGAGTGAATATCCAATGTTGTAAAAATTTGAATTTCAAACGCTCATAAAAATTTAATTTGACTTTCCTGTAGAGATTTTTTTACTGATAAAGGTAGACAATCTTATGAGTAATCTTGTATAAGATTTTCAAATCTTAGATTTAAAAAGAAAAATTTTTACGAATTCTTAACTCAAAATAATTTGCTAATTTTCGTGATTTTTCCATATTTTGTCAATTTTTGAACTTTAAATGCTTATAAAAAAAAATTGTGACTAAGGATTTTTAATATTTTTCATCTGCCTTTGAAACAATATATTAGGAACCTTCTATTAAATTTTCAAGCTTTCGCAACCAACAAATAACATTTTATTGATATTTCTAGAAAAAAAACTAAAAAAAAACTAAAAATGAAAATGTCCCTAAACTGTTCAAAATAAATCAAAATATTTTTAAAATGTTATCGTGTATAGAAGATGCAAATATAAACAACCAGTGAAAATTGCATGTGCCTACGGTCATTTGTTTTAAAGTTACACCAAAAACCAAATTCAATTTTCTGAAAAATCGATTTTGCGTAAAAATTCCCGTTTTTCCTTAATTTTTCTTTTGTTTTTCCCGGCGCTCTTGAAAACTACTGGGAAATTTGAATTTTGACCTCCCCAATGCACCAACGATATTCACTTTCCAATCGAACAAGATACTGAAGTCGAAAATCGAAGCATTATTTCGACTACTTATCGTGTACACAGACACAAAAAAAAATAAATATAAAAATAAAAAAAATAAAAAATAAAAAAATAAAAAAAAATAAAAAAAAAAAACACACATCATTGTAAAATCAATACATACATCGTTTCACTCAGAATCTAAAATGACCATAAGAAAGTCAAATTAAATTTTTATGAGCGTTTGAAATTCAAATTTTTACAACATTGGATATTCACTCGATTTCTCATGTAGCGATTGCCTTATTTTATTGTAATTCAGAAACGAATGACTGTAGATACATGACAATTTCACTGAATGTTTATATTAGCATTTCCTATACAGTATACACCATACAATTTTTAAAATATTTTGACTCTTTTTAAAGATCGAATTTTGACAAAATTTATTTAAATCTCGAAAATTATCAATCATTGTAATTAATAAATTATAAAATGTTCAGTTTTTATAGCTAAGGATTAAAAATTTAAAACAAATTTTCTCATAAATAGCTCATACTGTAACCAAAAAATCCAAAAAATATATTAACACAGTTATTTTTTACAGACATTTTAAATTCAAATTTGGACGAAATTACATATTAAAAAACCTAGAATAACTATTTTAGTTTTTTTGTTGTGATTGAATAATATTATTCGTAGGTACTTGAAACTACTAAAGTGTATTATTATATATTATCTATGATAGTATCACGGTTTTTGTTGATGTATAATGCGTTATAACTTATAAGTACCTAATGGATATTGTGATATGATTAATTTGGAATTTATTATAGGTACCTATTATAGGTCAATTTTTTGTTTAATACCATAGATATGTATATGATATGTCTTATACCTAGACTGACATATCATCCCCTCTTAGAATCGTTTTTATTATACAATGATTATATATCGTTGAATTCAAGTTTAATATCATCTATTATACAGTGACCCACTTGTAACCTACTGTACAGCAGAGCGACACGCACTTGCCCACTTTGTTATTATTAATTGTGTACGAGATTGATACAATTAATATGCATGTATTCCACACTAATAATTGTCATTGTGCCAAGGAATAAATTATTTATTTCAAATAAAACATAAAAAAAATAAATAATATAATAAATACAATTTATTTGGCAAAAATTTAATTAACAGAACGTTATACTTATAGTAAAATAAATTACTTTAAGAGGACGCTACACGGAAATTTATTGTCTTCGTCTTACAAGTGCTTAAAATAGAAAATTTCACCCAGGATAACACGTTTCCCTCCGTTAGTTTAAAAATTAAGTGTAAATCGACCTATTTCTTAATTGTAAGTACATTATCTGTGTTTGTACTGTTTGAAGTGAGTTTTTTACGATAGTTAAATTTGTTTAGTAAGTTATGCGCATATAATTTAGCCTAAATTAAAAATGCTCATTACTTAATCAAAAACTGAACGATCGTAAAAAACCCACTTGCAAACACGAATAATGTTCTAACAGTCAAGTTTCATAATAGGTCGATTCAAACTAATTTTTAAACTGAGTTATAAACGTGATATGCTGAGCGTAAATTTGCTATGTTATGCTCCTGTAAGACGGACAAAAAATGTTTGTGTAGCATCCTCTTAATAGCGATATCAAAAATCTTATCATGATGTTTACTTAGTAATATAGGATTTGACAAAACGTCTTCACTCAGAATCGGTTTTCGCATGCAATGATTTATCATCGAATTCAAACTCAACATATACAATTTATACATACATTACACATTTACATATAAATATACATATATAGTGTAATATGTGTAATGTATGTATAAATTGTATATTTTGAGTTTGAATTCGATGATAAATCATTGCATGTGAAAAACGATTCGGAGTGAAGAAAGTTTGTCAGAGCCTATATTACTAAGTAAACATCATGATAAGATTTTTGATATCGCTATCAAGAGGATGCTACACAAACATTTTTTGTCTGTCTTACAAGAGCATAACATGGCAAATTTACGCTCAGCATATCACGTTTATAACTCAGTTTAAAAATTAGTGTGAATCGACCTATTATGAAACCTGATGGTTAGAAAATTATGTGTGTTGGCAAGTGGGTTTTTTTACGATCGTTCAGTTTTTGATTAAGTAATGAGCATTTTTAATTTAGGCTAAATTATATGCGCATAACTTACTAAACAAATTTAACTATCGTAAAAAACTCACTACAAACAGTACAAACACAGATAATGTACTTACCATTAAGATTAATAATAGGTCGATTTACTCTTAATTTTTAAACTAACGGAGGGAAACGTGTTATGCTGGGTGAAAATTTGCTATGATAAGCACTTGTAAGATGAAGACAACAAATGGCCGTGTAGCGTCCTCTTAAAATAATTTATTTTACTATTAGTATACATAGAATATCCAAATCACTTTAAAATTATCGTGTGTAAGTATTATTAAGGACTACATTTTTGGCGTGCTTGTAACATCCCACCTAACTGTTCGATAGTTTGAGCCCTTTCCGTTATTAGATTTTTTTCGCTGTTTATTTCGTTTTGAAAATCACGCAACAGGTCATCGGTTTGTAATTGTTCCATATCAATTTTTTCCATCATCTCGTGTAATGTTTTGTTGAGTTCGCAAATATCATCTTGTAACTTCTCGTTTTTCCCGTTTAATTTATCCAGCCGTCTCCTAGTATCGTCGATTTCCTTGCGAATCGCATCATCTAGATAACCGCCTTTGATGTTCGAGTTGCATCCGTTGTCTTTTTCGGTAAGACTGGCTTTTATTTTGTTGTAATGTATTATCACCCGCATGACGTCCATCCATTCTCTCCTGGCAACCTGTAAAACGATTGTGTTAATAACAATATTTCCCGTACAAATCGGTTTCGTCACAACGACCTTATAATACTGTACTCCATGTTTGATTTCGGTTTGTAGATCTCTTCGCATTTCCACTATGAGGTTATCTTGTTTTTCCAGAAGTCGGAGGACAATTTTTTGGCGTTCTCTCACCAATATAGATAAGAACCTGCATGATGAGTCAATATTGTATTATTATAGTGTGCTAACACCACGCGATGGTACGGGCATAGATGGTGCTTACACTTGAACCAAACAACCGGGATATGTCTTGTACAGTCCATCGGTAACCTCAACTGTGGGGTTTTCCGCTAAAGCTCTCTCCCACATCATTTCGGACACGGAGTTCGTACAGGTGGATGCCGGGCTGGTTAGAGTAAGTAATGCAGACGTCGAAGCAACTTCTATTTCGTGAAGTTCGTTGTTACGCTTTTCGATCTAGAAATGATTTTAAACGAATTTTAATAACTGCCATCATTTTTTTTTATCGCAAATGGCACCAGATCATTCTCAATAATATAAACACCAACTAATCAATTTTTACTAGATTTTTTAATCAAGTATAATAAATTATAAAAGCCAAAAGTATAAGATAGGTACACTAAATATAATACAAAAATACCTCGGAAAATGAAAAATGAAAATTGATACAAGTTAAACGCTTGAAAAAAGTTATGAAAATTAAAAATAAATTACTATTAAGATTTACTTATGTCTGAAAATTCTCAAAAAATTATAAAATATAATGTATAATATAATATCTTGCAAACTTTATTAAGTTACAATTTAATTTACTAAAAAAAAATAATGATATTTAAAAAATTGTAAAAAAAACTACTCGACTTAAATATTAAAATTGGATTTTTACAAATTGGGTATATTGGATTTTTCCAAAAAACATTTAGGTAATACAATTTATAATTTTTATTTTCTGTATTAAAAAATAAAAATGTTTATACCGTACTTGTAGCCCGAGCCTCTATGAACTATATGATAAATAAATTATATATTGATTAAAACAAAAATTATTACATTTATCAGGTCTTTCTGTTACACTTGGTTTGTATAGTGTTTTGGATAATTATAGAATATAAATGTATCGAATATATTTTAATTATGTATTGAGTTTAATATTTTATTTATAATAGGTAGTATAAAACTATATTTACATCTCGTAGTATATTCTTCACTCTTTTTTTCAACGTTGATAGCATTTTCATTTTTTTGAATTCATGTGGGTCGAAGTTTTCACATCCTTTGCTCTCTATCTAAAATATAAAAGTGATTGCATAATAATACTATTCACTGTTTCTCGTTGTTGCCTCACTATTAGTTTTTCAAGCAGGTTCTCAACGTATGGATCGCGACAAGCGGTACTGTTAAGATCCCCTTCGCTCAACATCTCTTGTTCGATACTGCTGTATACTTTTTTGAAAAACTCAAAAGTTGAAATCCGAATTTCCGGTGCCTTTCGTTTTAACAAAATCTTTTTAATTTCGGCCGTTAATTGATACATTCTGTTTTCTTTATTAGATTCATTATTCTGTACGTCAGACATGTCCACTTTTAAGTCTAACGACTTTACTTGAGGCGCAGGGCTAAATTTGAAATGTTATAGAAAAATTAGTACCTATACCTACACAATATACTAAGAGAAAATTGCATCGGTACTATAATATATTTATATATTTTCTACAACAAATTCTACATACAAACACGATGTTATGAATTATTTGCTTAGACATTCATTATATTGTTGTACCTACTAGTGTTTTAAATACATAATTAGTTTTAGTTATTTTTTATAACTATCGTGTAGGAGTACGACTTAGGCATTAATTAATAAACATATTTTTTTAAACATTATTTGCTTGTGTTACTCATAAGTTAAACTACATGATAAATAATTACCTATCTTGTACATATTCAATGTATAAGCTGCAGCATAGTCTCACAAACGGTTAACTTAAATTTATTACTTGTTCGAGTTATTAAAAAGACCTTTCAAATATCAAATTATAATATTTGTGATGACAGTTGGGTCCGAACCCACTCACATTTTAATAACATATATTTGTGCCTAAACTATAATAATGTGATTTTAAGTAAACGACCTTACATTGGTTGGCCACACGTATTAACCCATCCACATGTTGTATCACCCAGGGTTATAGCTACGTATGCGAATAAACCAGCATCTTCAGCTAAAGTTTTGCACGCTATGTAAGTTCGTCCATCGTTCGATAGATGATTTAAGTCGATCATTTCCATTTCTCGGTTTCGAACAAATTGAGACCATTTCCTTTTATTATCTTCAATCTAAATATATGACGATTTTTTTACTCTGGAGTGTAAACGAATTTGACACTTACTTCTTTCTCTTTTTGGGCTTCTAAACTAGGTTTGGCAGTAATTTCCTTAAAGACACCGTCCAGAGACAACTTGTCTGGTTTAGGGGGATCGTTGAACGGAGCGCTGAGCTTACGGCTGTTCATATTTAAAATCAGTTGTGATAAATATATATTACGTATTTGTTTTTCATTTGTAGTCTTATACGTTTCAATCGCGAGCTTATCTAACCATTTCTACAAATGTAAACATGCACATAGTTTAGTTAATGCTCAGAAAATCAAAATATCCAATAGGTATATAGAGAGTATACGTACATTGCAAATTTCTTTGTCACTTTGGGATCTTAACGAAATAAAAGCTTCATTATAATGTTCTAAAAAGAACAAAAAATCCTCATCGACTTTATCGTCAATGGATTGCATTATTCCGGCTGCCATTTTGCTTATTCAATATGTGTAATAATAATATGTTCTTTTGCAAATAAAATTTTATTTAATTTAATATATTTTTAAAACTAATTTGTTTGTGTTCGTATAAATTCTAAAATATAACACATTGCAGTAGCTATGAGAAACGCGTATTTTTAATGTAAATAACTACTGTAATGTTGTTATTTTATATTAATTAAAATTGACCTAACCTAACCTAAATATAGAATTGTGTAAAATAAAATTTGTAAGCATATTTAAAAAACAAAATTTGTAAATTTAACAAAAAAAGGTGGGCAAGTGGGTGTCGCTCTGCTCTACAGTAGGTTACAGGTGGGTCACTGTATAATGGATGATATTAAATTTGAATTCAACGATTTAATAATATTATTGTATAGAAAAGCGATTCTGAGCGGAGACGGTATGCCAGTCTAGGTATAAGACATATTATATACATTATACATATCTATGATATTTAACAAAAAATTGACCAATAATAGGTACCTATAATAAATTCCAAATTAATCATATCACAATATCCATTAAGTACTTATAACGAGTTTTACATCAACAAAAACCGTGACACTTTCATAGATATATTATAATAGTACACTTTAGAAGTTTCAAGTACCCACGAATAATATTATTCAATCACAACAAAATAACTAAAATAGTTATTCTAGGTTTTTTAATATGTAATTTCGTCCAAATTTGAATTTAAAATGTCTGTAAAAAATAACTGTGTTAATATATTTTTTGGATTTTTTGGTTACAGTATGAACTATTTATGAGAAAATTTGTTTTAAATTTTTAATCCTTAGCTATAAAAACTGAACATTTTATAATTTATTAATTACAATGATTGATAATTTTCGAGATTTTGATAAATTTTAATGCACAGCACCACACCACATATTTTTATGAGTGTAATAGATAACTTATTTGATAATACAGCACAATATCTGAAATAACTTTGTATTTCCAAATATTAAAATACATACAAATATGTATTCCATTTGAAACCAACCCCGACAAAAAATAAATACATGACTGATTAGGAATAATAAAAATAATAAAAAGTAATTTCTTTCTTAAATTTCTGTACGGAATACATGCACTGTGGATATTTTTAAATACGTGTTTTCACTAAGTTTTAAAAAAATACAAAAGTTAGTTAAGTACAAATGTACAATAGTTACATATTATTACATTTTTTTAGTAAAATATCTAAAAAAGGTTTTTTTTTTTTTTTTCTTAAGCCCGGCATCTATGGCCATTAGCTGTTTGTAGGGTTGTATTGTGGTGGTAGTAGGGTTTGGGACGGTGAGTTTTTACTCGTGAGTATTTGTGTTGGACAGAGTTTTTGTGGGCACCCGTAGGTATTTTCCATGGTAGGGTGGTTGATGGCGGCCTTTCTCTCCGGACACCGTGACTTCCTGAAGAAAAATGCCGCCCATAGCCGGGATCGAACTGGCATCGGTCCACGTCGCAACCAACGCCTTAGTCCGCTTGGCCACTCCTTATTGTTTTAGTTTAAAAATGTTTTCTATAATTACAAAAAATATTATAAAATTAAAGATTATATTATGATATATTAATATACCTATAATGTATTCAATAATTTAAATGATATTATGATTATGTAATAAATACAAATATGGTAGGTAAGTTAATTTAAATAAGATATATTATTAAAAAAAACAACAAAAAAAATTGTACTTAAACCTATACGTAGTCTGTAGATAAAAAAAAAATAGTAAGAACGTAATTATAAATGACAGAGATACGAGTAAATATGTTATGCTCTTATGTCATGCTCTGTAAAACACTTGTAGGTAAATAACAAATTTTAATATAATTGCTGCATACACTACACGGAAATAATTTTGATCAGAATTGAAAAAAAATATCAGCTTGTCCTTAAACTCTACGAAATTAAAAAAAAAGTAGAACTTTTGCCAACTTTTATCTGACTTATCTAATGACACACCTATTAAATTAAATAAAGTATCATTATTTTTGAAAAATTATCAACAAACCCAGATTTTTTGAAGGACTATCTTAACCATTGTTCACTCTGTCCCTCTGACAATCAAAAACAATTTAACATTACTCTATCGTTGGGAAAACGCCAGATGCACGAAATGTGGGTGCAAAGGTTTCACTGCCATATATTTTTAATACTACCTAGGTATAGTTTTTTAAAACGGAGAAATTTTACGAAGGCCATTATAGAACACTTATGGTCAATACTTGCACGATCTCTTTGTTTCAGTAGTTTTTTTTTTATGTACAATATTATTATTACTATTAACTTTGCGTGGTAGAAAATCGTAACATATTACGTGTGGGCGAAACAGTTGTATTTACGATAACAACGACCTCAAAATTAGTCAGATAAAAATACGCATGTAAACTGTGCTGTGCACTTGATGGATATAGAATTAAGGTAAATAAAGGTTGCACAGGGTTCAGGGTGACAGGACACCAGTGTTTCCATAAATAATGATAAATATAAATTGTAAAAAACCATCTTCGTCCGTAATGTATGCATAATTATTATTATAATAATGGCCGAATAGTAATCTTGTTTGTTACGACACATTATGTACATTTTTCGATATGAAATCAAAAATGTCCTCGACAAGGCACACTAACCTTACTGGTTTTATAATTTTTATATTTTATTTGTAATGACCAACACCGTTGGACGTATACCAGTCAGACGGGATGCTGGTGATATTGTTAGGAAATTTGCAGAAACCGGATGAATAATAATGTGTATTGACGTAGTAATTTTTTTCGTTTATCGATGCCGATTGTGTTCCTACGTAATATGACAAATCTAATACATAAAATATACAAATTTAATGGCATCAAACTATTATTTGTAGGACACTATTGGAATTTGTACGAATTCAGGTTTATTTTTGTAACAGTCATCATTTGCGTTTGAGGATTCGTAATTTTTATCGATAACAGGAAGTATATAGAAATGTTAAATCTGTTACACAGAAAGGAAGTGTGAACTTGGAGTATTTCGTTGTCATGGGCGGCCAGTTATTATAATATACTAATAATTAATATTATGTAGAATTTGTAGAATAGGTATCTACCTCAGGTCTCAGAATTATTCATATACTTGGTTATAACTAGTATTTTAAAATTGTTTTGTTTACAACCAATAAGTTTTTTATTTAATATAACGTATATTAAAATATTAATAAGTATTTAAAAAGGTTGCTTGCATTAGTTTAAATAAAATATGGTAAGTAGCACAATATTATACTGTGTTTATATTATTTTGTAGTTCAATTTATTAAAGCACAATGATAAAGTTTATTTGATGTAGTCACCTATTGGCTATTAGCCAATACAAAATCAAAGCCAAGCTATACAATATCAAAAGATCGCTGTGGTCTGGAGATAATAAAGTTGACAATTATCAATAATATTGCTTTTATTAATATCTGCCTATGATTTAAATCTACGATGAGTCAACTATAGTTATTCTGAAAATATTTAAAATATTAGTAGTTGAAGATTTATTAGAATTTTTAAGTTTTACCCCAAGGTAGTATACTAGTATGGAGTACCTACTGCGTACTTCGAACTCAGAGTATTTTGGACATTGGTGATTCACAATCGAAACATTTAATCTATAAAATAACTTCGTTCATCCTTGACAAAAGTATTATTTCTTTATATGTTAAATAAATAATATAGTTAAGTATTTCTAAAATAAATCAATTGTATTCGGTTTTGTATGGATGTCTGCATTTTATTTATGCGTGCACATTTTATTAACTCCATTTAAATAAGGTTGTAAGAGGTAAACTTGAAACATTACATGGCATTACATGGCTGGCATTAGAAGATTTAATCAAATCGTATAGTTTAAAATAATTAAACATGTGAAGTAGGTTTAACGATATACACAGATACGTGCTCGGGAATTATAAATAGGAGAGGATTTTTAATATCTAAACCAAGGCATCGGGATCAAAACTTTGTTGCTAATAAATAATAGTTGTACCCATAGTAAAAAAAAAAACAATAGGTGTAGGGTAAAAGTTTAAACTCAATGAATCACACTCATTACTCTTATGTCTACATAACAAATTAAAATTAGACCAACATTTATAATACTTTTTAGTTATGTATATTATATAATTAATAGGTACAATTATAATATAATATTGATAGTATATAATACCAATGTCAATATATTTTTTCATGAAATTACTTGGTAAGTTTTCTGTCTTAGTTTGTTTTTTGAGATATACATATAACAAAGTATAACTTCAATACGTTTAAAATGTATGAAGAAATAAAATGATAATATTAAGTATAAAATAGTATCACTACAACTGTAATACATAATCCATGGTAAAATCTTAAATCATGCGAGTACTAAGACGTAATACCTACATTAGATAAATATATACATTTCTATTGTAGCAAATTATTTTAATTCAATTCATTAGAATACAAAATCTATAATACGTATTATTGTATTAACTATGATATAGGATGGAGTACTTATACATATTTGTATAATATTTTTCAAAGATTTTATGATGAAATTGATTTATAACCTATGATGGTCTTCTTATATGTACCTACATGGCAAATATTAAAATAATTATACAATAATTTGAGATGTACCCCCTAGCTATTAAACTATTATAGAGGACGTGCCTATAGTAAAATAAGGAATATTTTTCACTTTTTACGACAAAACGGAAAAATGTGTAATAATTTATAACTCAAGACGAAGACGTATATTATGTGTACATAAAAGTTTTCAGGTTAAGGCTGAACATTCAAGATATTATTGGACGGATAGATCATATAGACGTTCGTTGTAAACTAAAAATACTCGGAAATTTTTCTCAGAAAACGGAATCCATACACACGCATGTACACTATTATATATCATTTATTTTTTATAACGCATCATTATAAGACAGGTCGTGATACAGATTCTGAACGGATAGGAAGGCACTTAGATACGTTTTCGGAAACATGTTGGCTTGTGTTGGCGTATCAAAAACGAACATTATAATAATAATTATATGTTACACGAACTGTCGACGTGACATAATATATATATATATATATATATATGTATATATATATAGTAGGCGGTGCTCAATATAATAATAATAATAATAATAATAATAACTGTGTGATAACGACATAATCGGCATCGGCCTCCGCCGCCACTCGGACACATCAAAAATGTATTGGCGCCAATCGTCGTCTTTGCTGCCGGACAATGTTGGTCAAGGCGCCGCGCGGACACGGACGCGCCGGGCCAAGGACCTTGCAGCGCGTTTTAAATGTTTTCCCAACGTGCGCCGCCGCCGCCGCCACCGCCGCCGTCGCATGCCAATTTTAATGTAAAAACACACACCCGAATCGTTTTATTATGTGTCACCGATCAATATTATAGTGTTATAGCACGGCGTAAGTGAAAAATATTCGATCTATTTAAATACACTGCAATCGTACAATGTCGAGTGTCATGATGGTATTATAATTTAGATTGTGAACAGTAAGCGTATATCGTATAATATGTAGGTACATGGACAGTCGTACGACGAATAATGAGTCCTAGTGGCCTACCTATAATATACGAGTAGGTTTACGATAATTCCGAATCGATGACGGTTATAAATCGAACACGAAAATGAATTAATGACTGATCAATATATAGTATGTGTAGGTATATGAAAGCAAACATTATCATTGTTGTCCATCAAACCAAAACGCCAAAAAACCAAATACTTCACAAAAATAATATGTAGGTACCTATTTTTCGGGGTGCCACCATTGGGTGACTTCCCCCTCCCGCTAATCAACCCACATCCCATTTATTCATTGTACTACATGTAAATACAGATTGTAAATATAATTTGTTCAATAAAAACTATATAAAAAAAAAATTTACTTATTTCATAAATATAATTATTCACATTCTTATGGTTGTGCATTTTACGCCTATATGATTATAAAATATTAAAATTATCTCAATACTAACACTTCAAGTGTCTTATTGCTTACTTATTTTTTCAAAGCTACTCCATTAAAAATAGTTCTCCCGATCGTTCATCAAATACATTTTTCGATAAATAGGTTTAGTTTTGATTTCATTAAACTAATATTTACAAACTGAAAAATGATTGCATACTTTTAAATATTCATAGTAATAGCTTTGCTATAATTTGTACCTAACTGGCACATATATATCGTTCTATATAGAACTGTTGGATAAAACTATTGAACTGCAATGATCATTCAAATATTTAAATCACCATAAACATTAAACACTCAGTAAATAATTGAATGTATACTATTTGAAAAAAGCCATTGTCAATAGGTTCCCTCCCTATTTCATCACGATACTGAGTGGGTGGTCGTCAGTGATTATTATAATTTTTTTTCTGTGTGGAATGCAACTTAAGAATTTTAATACTGAAGGCTTCTTTTCAAAACTAGCTAGCTGATGCCAATGAAGGTGAAAACCAGAAAATATTTATGATTGGTTTGTATTTTTTTATTACGTTAGAAATGCAAATACTGAATACAATTAGTAAGAACTGCCTATGAGTTTGAAAATACCTAAGTTCTAAATCATTTATTTTATTGATTGAGTGGTTAGGTTGTACGACTACGATGTTTAAACTCAGTAAACTTAATTTATTCATTTTTATTTTAAGTAAATCTCGTTTTTTTAAAAACAATATATCAAAGGTGTAAATATATTTTCATTATTATATTTTGACGTTTTTATCTAGTCGATATACGGCCGTGACATTTTATAAACATGACTGTATAGTGTTCTAAAAAAACATTATAATATTATCTATAAATAATATTTCCTTTGATTCGGAAATTATTTCTGTGCCTTCATTAATTCGGGGGCGAAAGCAGGAAAAAATCCTGAGGGTTTTTTACGTACTATTATAGTGTTATTGATATTGAACCATACACCACCTTTCCCTACTACATCTCAGATTTCATTTATATTTTATGGTCTTCCAAAATGTAATGAATAAATAAATTTATTTAAAAAAAAAAACACTGGTACTTTTATATGGTTGCACAGTTTAAAATTTTACGTTTATTTCAAAAATCGCCACAAAAATTATAACTGCATCAGTAAAGTAAATTAATTTCAACATTTTTTTAAAATTATTATTTGTATGATGTAAACTATTAATAAGAAAAAAAATTCTATACATTTTTAAAAAGGTGGGCAAGTGGGTACAGTAGATGTCGAGTGGGACACTATAATGGATGTGTTACATTTGAGTTCAATGATACAGTAAATGAAAAAAGATTCAGAGTGGAGACACAGATATTTAGGTATAAATATATTATATATTATATATATATATAATATATATAGTTATGTAGATTATTCTGAGTCAGACAATATTACTAAGTGGTATATTTAATTATATTAGTCAGCCTTCTTATACTTTATATTATATTTATATTTCCACAAGTAATTTATTTTACTAGGTATTTGCATTATGGTAGGTTGATTTAATTTTTGCTGAAAACATTGCGGTTAAGTACCTATTTTGATTTATTAATATTTAATTTTTTGTTCTAGCATAAACTACTTATGAAGAATATTGTATTAAATTGTCATGCCTTACCATAAGAATTGAAAATTTTATAATTATCTTTTTTCATTTTTTTTTTCATTTAAAACAAGCAATCTATACATAAAATGCACAATAAGCTTATTTGCTAAGAGTGGGAGTTGATTAAGTTGTCATTCATTAATGACATTTATCTTGATTTTAAAAATGTGTTATGAACGCATTAGCTATTAGTATATAGTATTAGCCCTTTGTATTAGAATATAAGAGTTATAAGACCAGTTAAATTGGGATCAAGTCCGCACAATATTACGTTACGTTTTTAAAAAATCAAAAATTAAACTTATCATCTATGTAACTACTACATATTCGGAACAGGAGAAACAAAATATAATAAAGGAATTCCATCTGACACCTTTAGGGGGACATCAGGGAATTTCCAAAACTGTTAAAAGAATTAAACTACATCATTCGTGGAAAGGTTTAAAGAACGACGTTATTGAGTACGTAAAAAAATGTACCTCATGTCAAATGAACAAAAGTAGCAACCACAGCATTCAACAACCGATGATAGTTACCACAACTGCGTCAAAACCATTTGAGAAGATATTCTTGGACATTGTAGGGCCAATTGATACTTCGTTGGAAGGGAACGCGTATATTCTTACGATCCAAGACGATCTTACAAAATTCTCAGTTGCTACACCATTACCCAACCACACTGCTAATACTATCGCAAAGGCCTTCGTAGAGAAATTTGTGTGCCTTCATGGTATACCAGATTCTATTCTTACAGATCAGGGTCCAGACTTCTTAAGTAAAATATTCCAAGCATGTTGCAAGCTACTTCAAATAGAAACTTTCAAGACTACAGCTTACCATCCACAGTCCAATGGAGCTCTTGAACGATCTCACCGTACATTAACGGAGTACCTAAGACATTTCGTTAGTGAACAGAAGCAAAATTGGGATCAGTATATAGCTTATGCAATGTTTGTGTACAACAGTTCAATACACGCAACAACAGGTTATCAACCATATGAGTTGGTATACGGAAGACAAGTTGAGGTACCTCATTCCTTGAGTCGCAACCCTCAGCCATGTTATAATTATGATGACTATAATTTTGAACTACGTAAGAAACTTCAAGAATCACACAAGTTAGCTCGAGATAAGATTATAAAAACAAAAGAAAAGGCAAAAACAAATTACGATAAAAATGAACACAGCATAAATATCAATGTAGGGGATAAAGTACTTACGAAAGATCATACTCAAAAAGGAAAACTTAGCCCTAAATGGAAAGGACCATTTGAAGTCATCAGCATTCACGACAATCAAAATGTATCCATACAACGAGGACGTAAAAAAGTAGTAATACACAAAAACGAATTGAACATTTTTAACTCATAATATAAATAATAATCGAATAAAATATTTCAAAACTCATTATCTCACCATAATATAAAATTTAAAGATCTAAAATATTACTTATATTAATTGTTTCAGAGCACTTTGTGCATTCGAACGCTTTATAAAAGCAGACTCTTTATATAATATTTCACAGACCAAAGAATCATCCGGAATTTATTTTGATTTCATCTCCGACATGCGCACAGTTGCAGCTAATTGGGAGATCACAGTATATTTAAATATTTCAATTTATTATACACACTATCTAAAAATTAAAAGTTTACAAGAGGAAACGTCATCACTTTGTGATGAAACTGCTAAAAGTTTTGAAAATAATTTTAATTTTTTTTGTTTTAAAAAAGAATTCCATACAAATGACATTTGTTTAGATTTTAAGGCAGCCTCAGAAAAAATTTTAAATGAATTTGAATCGGATACTTATAATATCTTTAAATTAATTGAAGGACAAAATAATTTAAGAAATAAACGACAGTTATCCAAAAATTTAGGGGATATAATCTATACGCTGTTTGGGACAATTAGCTTAAATGATATTACCAAATGGTACTCAAATATAAAAAATATGATAAAAAACGGTAGAAATTCTCAAAACATAGTAGAAAATAAAATGATGATCACTCCTGCGAGTACGAACGAAGCGATATTGCTTGATAAAAAAACAGTAGAAGCAACAACAGAAGTTTCAAATAATATTAAAAAAATTCGACATTATATTACTTCCGACAGGGATAACTTTAACGATGATAATATGGAAAAAATAATTAAAAACCAAATTTTAAATTTAGAAACAATTTACAAACAATACTCTTTGGAATTAACGAGAATAAATCAAATCTTACATTTTGCTATACAGGGAAAACTACATCCATTAGTAATATCCTCAGCTCAATTATTAGAAGAAATTAAAACAATTAAATTAAACCTTCCATCTAATTTAGACATCCCGGTAAAACTAGACCTATCGGATATGTCAGAGATTTTTAAAATTATGCAAACAACTATTGTTAGAAATAATGATATAATTATGTTTATTAATACTGTACCAATTGTTTCTAGTACTTTATACAATTTATATAATATTATACCGAATCCAATGTTAATAGAAAACAATATTTATATGTTCATTAAACCTAGAATTAAGTATTTAGCTTTGACTATCGATCAAGAGTATTATGTAAATTTAGATCAAAACGAATTTAGTATGTGCTACGACACAAAACATTTTAAAGTATGTAAAAATCTTGTAACTCAGAGGGTGACAACATCAGATGATTGCGAACTCAATTTAATTATTAACACAAAATCAGCAAATATTGAAAATGTTTGTAAGTTTAAATACACGTCAATCAAACACGGTATTTTCCATAAGTTAATGTCGGCAAATTCATGGTTATACACAGTAAATCAACAAAATTGAATTATTACCTGTTTAAATTACAATCAAATTATTAAACAAATTTATGGTACAGGAATTATATCTCTTAGTGAACAATGTTCCGCCTCATCTGCAGGTTATCATATGATACCATTCAGAACTATGTATTCTGATATAGATTCGCCTGATTCGGACATTATACCAAACATAAATATATCTCGCTACACCCATAGAACCCCTTATGTAAAAAATGTTCTACCTTCGGAGTCTATTTTTGAAAATTATGAAGAAAATGAAGTTGTAACCCAGAATAATACAAATAACGAACCAATAATAGCAAATATTGGTTTGATTAGTTGTACATGTATAATAATGTTAATTATAATATTTAGCTTAATCATAATAATTATAGTATACAAACGCAAAATAAAAAATGTAAGCCAACCGAGTTTGACGGAACCAGACAACATAGAAACAGTAGTTCTAAAGGAAGGAAAATCATCACCCAAAATAATTTTGTAAATCTAGGGTCATGATCTTCCGTCTAACCCGGGGGGTGTTATGAACGCATTTAATATTGCTATTAGTATATAGTATTAGCCCTTTGTATTAGAATATAAGAGTATATTATTGTAATCTGCGGGTAACGCCTAATGTGTGGGCGACTCCCGGAATATTGCAGCTACACGGCAGCCGCTAGGGAACCGTGGAGTCAGTCGTCTTAGCTCTTTTAAACCTGTACGTCGTTCTGACAGTCAATTATAAATATTACAGTGAATTATAAATTTCGACTCACAATAAAATTATATTAGTATTTAAATCTTTAAAACTGTTTTGTTGTACTCTCTCCAAAAATTGAACCCTCACACTACCGAAATAACAACGTTCAAACGGAACAACCCGTACGAGCACAACAAATGTTTAACAACAAAATTATTTACTTATTTCTGTGATACTGTAAAAATTATAAATTATAAATTTAAGCTTATGAAAATAACCGTGCCCATAAGTCTTTCTGAATATTTACAATAAAACATAATATGAGGAACCTTGTATTAAATTTTCAATCTTTTTGACCAAGAATATTTTTTTATCGGTATTTATTGAAAAAAAATTAAAAAATTTCGAAAATGATATATAAATATATTATATACCGTACCAGTAGCGTCTAAATATCAGCTCATAGGAGCTCGGTACATTTAGGTACCCACCAATATTATGTAGTATAAGCTATTGAGCTGTGTATGAGTTGATTCTCAAGTGCCGGTTTACCTGCACCGATACCGTTGAATTGATTGAGTTGAAGTGGCTATTAATAGGCATGTACGAATTGATTCTCTTATTAATGTATATCATTATCGAAAATAATAGGTATTTTAATCTAAGAAAGACCGAGAAAAAGAAGTTTTACGGGAGAAGTGATGAACAAGTATGTTCAACTGCTCAAGTAATCTCATTACGAGGTATCAGTTTTTAAAAACAATGTGTTTCAAATTTTTACCTAGTGGTAACTAAAATGCAATTCCTTACATTTTAGATTCTGAGCGGAGCAAGGAAGCTAGTGGTTTTACAATGGTGTTTATTTTTTTTTATTTTTTTATTTTTTTTATATCCTGTATACAAAATTTCTACCAGAAGGAGTGCTTTGATTTCAACATATAGTACCTTATCTTTTAGAAAATTGGACCAAGATGGTACTTTAGAGAGGTCATTTTTCGATTTTCTCAATAGTTATTTAATGCCACGGGAAAAAGTACTGAAAAATTACGAAAAACCGCTTAAAATGGGATTTTAATTTCTAACAATTTGTTTATCACCGTAGCAACGAATAAAAAAAATAATAATTAAATAAATAAAATAATTAATGACAATATAAAATATACAGACTGACAAACCGTCTCTGTTCAGAATCGTTTTTCTTATACAATGATATTATATCATTGAATTCAAGTTTAATACAACCCATTAAACAATGACCAACTTGTAACCTACTGTACAGCTGAGCGACATCCACTTACCTGCCTTTTTTGTGTATATATTTTATATGTTTTATTTTTTGTATTATTTTTCGTATATTGACATATGTCATATACATTTATTATATTACTGATATACAACAATCATAGGGGAATCAATTCGTATATACCTCTTAATTATAGCCTGGGAATCAACTAGTACATAAAGTAAGTCTTGTGAATCAATTAAACAACAGCGACGAGTTTTGTTTAAATAAAAACCTCACAATAAACCATCCTACAAATTGAATTAATGTAATGCCATAATATAAATAAATATTAACTTAGACTTGAAGTATGAATTCATATAAGTTTCGAAGTCCATAGTCATCACTCACCATACACAAATTGAAGCTCAAATCGAATTGAGGCTACCTTTTAATTAGGACTCCTCTGTTGCTATGGTAGACTATACAAATATATGGGCCTTCGACCAATTTTGTATTTTGGATTTTAAAATCCTTGTGACCTTAAATCCATGAAGTAGTTGCGATGTTCATAATATTAATAAGGATATATGGTTATTATTCATTATTAGATATCATACCATGGAGTTTATTGATATTAAATATTAATAAAGATTAAAGGACAATGCTTAAACATAATAATATGGAAATCAATAATCATAATATTTTTTTGTAAGTTTGCAATAAATAATATAATATATTGCTTGCCTACCGCTGTGCTGTACATTAGGTGTCGTATGGATCACTGTAATGGATGTGTTTAATTCGAATTCAATGATATACAACACAAAAAACAGTTGTTGAACGGTCGACAGCCCATTATATAATGATATTTTTAAATTACAAAAACATAACTAAAATTGTTATTCTCCGTTTAAATATCTAATTCTGTCTAACATTAAATTTAAATATCTATTAAAAATACTGTTTATATAATTTTTAGATTTTTTGGTTACATCATCAAATAATATTGTGAGAAACCTTCTTTTAAATGTTTAACCCTTAGCTATAAAAATGTAGCATTTTTTTAACTACAAAATAATTTGCAAATGTTCATTAATTGAACTTTAAATCCTGATAACAAAAAATCGTGACCATGTATTTTAAATATTTTTAAACTGCTGTTAAAACAACTTATGAGTAACGCTCGGAAGTTGTTGCATTTGCGTGGTTTTTTTAGGCCATTCAATTTTGTTTTCTAAGTAAGCTTGAAATTAATTTCATGACTGTATTATGAAAAAAAATAGTAAAAGATGCATATTTTTGCATGTTTAGGGATTTTGTAATCTTAAGACTATATTTCTCAATTTTACCATTTTGTAGAGTTTATTTGAAAATTTTACAATAAAAAAAATAAGTACTTTATAAGTAATGTATATTTAATATTTATTTTGTGAATATGAGTAAATTGTGAGTGAAAAAAAATTCCATATTTTTAAAACATATTTGTATTATTTTAAGCGCATATATTGTGCATGAATATTAATTTTTTCAAGTGCATTAAGTTTCAAGCACTACTTATGAAGAACCTTGAATTAAATGTTCAAACATTTAGACCCAATTAAAAAAATGTATTGACATTTATATAGAAAAAAACTAAAAAAAAATTGAAAATGTCTATAAATAGGTAATGATGTGTTTCAATTGCTTGGCCATGTCGTGAAGTAAACTACGGTATTGAAGAACTCAAATATGCACGACAAATTGATGGGAAAAAGGCGGTTTGTCGACTAAAAATTTACCCATTTAGTTTGCACTTTAGTAACACGTGAAACCTATAACATTCATGGGACATAGATACATGTATTAAACAAATATTTATACATATCAGACGCACTTCGCACATTGTTATTATGATTCATAATTATTATTATTATACGGGAGTACTACTATATTATGGTGTCTGTTATTCGGATTGGATAATACTGGTACATCTTGAGCGCGCAAATGACCGTGGGATTCGTTTTTCTTTAATCTCCGAGCACGATTAGCCACCGGGCACGTTGTTTGCTTTTGCGTAACATCGTCGGCGATGCGCACGTGGACGACCGACAGCAATTTGACGAATATTCGGCTCAAAGGTCATTAATAATTCTACTCGGGTCGGTGACGGTGGTACCCAAGTAGGTACCTGCGTATAATATAAAACTAAGTAGGCACTACTTATTAAGACATAATATTATTATTATATTCTTACATCACATATATTTGGGTACCTACGCGACGACACTGCAGCGACGTGCTTATTTTGTTAAAACGTATTACCGTAAAACCGGGTTACTTGGAACATTGTTCTTTTTCATATTTCGTTTGAGCTAAAAATATTGGCCTGATGAAAAAAAAAATGACTACAAAGATAAAATATGTGTATTGCCTCATTTATTGTTGTCTAATACTTAAAATTAAAATTTTTCTTGCTTAATTATGTACGTTTTTAAAAAAATAATGTCTGGGTCCCAAGTTACACTTGAATGGGTTACTTGAAACAGCCATGTTAAATTTACACAAATTTTATGTTAGACTCATAAGTGGTATCTTGGGACGGTTTTTAAAAATGTTTGATATTAATGAATAATTTGATATAATTAAATTTGTTTTTTTAGATTTTATTGAATTTTAAGTGACGTTACTGACATTTGGTTTAATTTGGGATAGTAGTAAGACATGTGATAGGAGGGTCCCAAATAAGCTAAAATTGTTTAAATGTATTTACCTACAAACCAATATGGTCTAAAAATTACATTAAGGTGATAACAAAGTTTAAATTGAATTTACAATATATTTTCCTTTCAATTAACATACAAATTTACTTCATATTTCAAATAGAACTCAGGACTTAAACTTAATTTGCTTAAATTTTAGACATTTAAAGATACGTATGTTACTTAATTGATTAAATATTAGTTATTACTTAACTTGATTTATACAACAGTAAGTAGTCAAGTTGTTTGTATTAGTGTGATTACTGTTTAAATAAATTGATAATAATAACAAAAAGATAAATAAGTGATGCCAAACGATACAATGATTCTTAAATATGGCCCCAGCCCCCAAGGCCCAA